CGTGTAGTGCATGAACTTTTGGTTGAATCTTTGATTTGATTGCAAATATGTTTGGTGATTTTGACTTTCGATTTGACTGTATGCGCTCACATACATATATGGCTGAGACGAGTCCCACTGTGATTATTATAAGTGATCGTCTCATATTTATAACCCTCTATATATATGTAAATAATATGTCTTAAATGTTTCGCGCGGCCTACTAAGGGTTAAACAAATTATGTTTTTGCGAGAAAAGGGGGATCCCTTCTTATCCTTTGCATTTTAGAGTTTTATAGTTGAACGTCGTAGTCCGTGACAACCGTCAAAGTCAAACTCCTTGATTTCTCTTCAGGCCCTTGATGATGAAGCTGGTCTCCAGGGCGATAAGAGACGATTGTCACCACCGGTATGAACCTGTGTACCACCCACTCTCCGCAGGTTGCAGAAGAGGGTGTGGTTCTCAACCGCACTTGGAGGTTGTCCAACGTCGAGAGGTCAATCCCTCAAGGCGCGTGTCAGCCGACACTTGCGTGTCGAATAAGACCCTCGAGAGTAACGAGGACCGCATGAGTATGGGTACTATTTAGTACGCCATCATTACGACTGCTTGTGTATACTTGCATTGCGGGTCGATATGAGATTAGCCCTGCGTCCGCACGGTTTTATACTAAGTCTCGCGCGCGACGCCAATCCGATTTCCGCATCGGAAAGTTATGGGATGGCTACTAAGGGACTAGGAGTGTTGTCACGTTGTTTGTCCTGTGTCGTTTTGAATATGTGTGTGTGCGTGCGTGTTTTAATTTTTATATCCTTAGAGTGGTGTACTCGTGGTGTGTGGGATGCGTCCTAGTCGACCGACGTCGAGTCGTGCTTGGGACCTCAGCCCCCAAGGCGTCAGTTAGCGTGCGGGTCCAATAGAGGCGTAAAACCACGCGTACCCCTATGCTACAGCGAACGAGAAACGCCCTCGGCTGGTACACCTCTGCGATTGCAACTAATTAACTTTCGTACTGTGGACTGGTAGCTCGGCGGGGATACGCCCATCGAAGGGAGGTGACAACTCCCGTAAGGTGGAGGTAAGTCGTACCTTGCGTAGGCCCTATCCTGTCGTAGGGGCTCGCGAGAGGTATGGCTGGCGCACTCGGCCAGAGCGGCTTGCGGAAGCTCCATGTGTATTAACGACGAGGATTAGACCGACTCATGCATGACGTGGTCGGGAGGGTCCCACCCCATTTCGTGCGGTGCTCGACCAATGCGCGCGACAACGGCCTAGCTCAACTCATAACAGGCAAAACAGTTGCAAAAGAAATCGATCCAAATTCAGTCAAACTGAAAATTTGTCAAATCAAATCATATTGTCTCCATGCAAAGTAATAAGAAAGGGGGAGAATTTGATGCGCTGGCTTATTGCCCTCCTCTGTGACCGATTTGCATCATCCATTCATAGCAGATCCCCACTGAGATAAGAGCGAAACCAACCAAACCTGAGCTAATTAGGCCTAATATAAGCAAATTAGATTCAATCAAATTGAGCCAAAGTTGATGAAACCAAAACGATGCAAAGCAAGTGAAATCAAATCAACTCAGCTGAACTCACCTCCTAACCAATCAAGTCAAATCAAATCAATCCAACCCAAAGTTGAAACATCACATATGAATTGAGGCGTACTTCAAAATACTTCCCGCCACGTAACCCCCTCACCCTCCCCAGCTACCCCACCCCTTCTTGCCTCAACTTGAAGCGCTGGAATGCAGAATATGAGAGAAGGTCTTTGCATTAACTCGTGTGCCAACGCATCAACATGTTGAGACATGACAGAAGCAGCGCACTTGTCAGCATAAGGGGCGTGCAATAAGCAAAGCGATGCAAGCACAAGAGGCGGGAATGGAAGCTTTGCTGGAAACGTAGTCATTGTTGTTGTTGATAGCGTTGATATCGGTGTTGTTGATGAGGTTGTTATCGGCTGATTGCCAGGAGATCCCGTGCCATTGGATACTGCTATGGTCTGCGGCGGGATAACCATCGTTCCAGTTGTTGGTGTGATGATAGTTGATGATATGAGGGTCGCACCGTAAAATTTCGTCTTGATCTAAGCATGATCAACCCTCATTGTTGTTGATGTCAGTGTTGTAGGCGTTGGCGCTAGTGTTGTTGGTATGTGTGCTCCAGCAGCCTGCCAAACCTTGTCATGATCCCAACATGGAGGGTATCACTGCCCCCCCACAACATTGATTTCTCCATATAATCTAGCAACACGTACCACTCCCTCAGCAGTTGTTGGAGCTGTGTCAACAATAGCCAGCACTTCCGCACTCCATCAGCTAGCTGTGACTGATCTTGATCACCTATCAAAGAACCAATCGGATCCAAAGTCTCCATCGTCTCTTCAAGTAACATCTCGCCAGCCTCTACATCCACAGAGTAGTCCATGAAGCTAGCGTCGGGCCGCAACCGACACTTCTCCACCAGCCAACTCTCCAGCCGCCCAGTCAATAAGACCAAAGTCCGCAGATGCGCAGGGGAAGCATGAGTTGTCATTGTAGGACCGCAGTAGTACTACCCAAAACAGCCATGGCTAAAGAAGAAACTGATGCCATGAGGATTGCGTAATACACTAACGAAAGACGTTTGCTAGCTTTAGCCGCTTCTCGCCTTGTTATGCTCGCAAGGGCGCCGTTGGACCGCTGACCACAATGTTCTCCGCATCCGCCAGTGTTGCCACTGCCTCCTCCCTATCAATCAAACCGCTATGGCCCAGACAACTCCTTCCTCCCTCCTCCACTACCCCTCCATGTCATGTCAGATCCTCTAGAAACCAGATTCTGGGCGCCTTTCTCTACATGGCGATGATGTCAGCCTCCTTCGTCCACCCCAAGAAACCTCGAGGGTTAGGGCAGCAAGGCTGCCGGGCCCGCCGGCCAGCATGCTCCCCATGCGCATGCGCCAATTGCCTTCCCAGATAGTATCGGGGTGATGGAGATCATAACATAGAACCTCGTCCAACTCTCTTAGTAACACCCACGGGGATCGAGTTCGCAGCCCTAAGGCTGCGGTATAGTGTGTTTCCTCGTCTGTGTCAAGGTGTCGCATTTTCGGTGGCGGGCGACCAGGACGCAAAGTGGGTTGTTAGGGGACAATTTTTTTTGGGGGACCGGTCCTTGGCAAAATTGCGGACTACCTACAGCTAGCTCTTCTAGAACCGGGACTTTTGGAAAAAGGAAGGACCGGTCCTCGGGTGGAAGTGGACCCCAAAAAGAAGTGGGGGGCGTTGGACCGGTCCCGGGTAGAAGCGGACCCCAAAAAGAAGTGCGGGCATGTGAACTACAAAAGGGCCCTCAGGCCCAGGCATTGAGCCCCGTCTTCTCAAAACAGGGAGGTCAGGCACAACGAAATAGGCGTTTTGCAAGAGTCAACTTTGGCGATTTTCTGTGCTCGGACGAACATGCAAAAAAATCTGAAATTTTGAGAATCACTTACCTTAGGTTATCAAGTAGACAAGCAACTCAGGCGGATTTGTACTTCTTCCTGTCAAATTTCTTTGTGTGTAGATACCCCATTGCCCCGCCCCCATGGGCGCCCTCAACAAATAGACAGTGGACGCTGAGTGACGTGGTGGGTTGGCCAGCAGAGGAGTCCTGCCGATTTGTCTGGACTTCCTAGCAGCTATGGTCGTCGGTCCAGTGGAGATAAGGACCAGGTTAAAAAAAAAACTACCCCGATAATTGCGGATGGTAGCTGTGGACGGCCTGCAACTGAGCTGCTAGGTACCGTGGGCCCACAACTGAACTATCCCTAGTTCAGCTGCTCCAAGTTGGTAGGCTTGCTAGGTTTGTTTTGTGCCGAGTTTTGAAGCCCTTTTCGGCTCCTCTCGATAGGCGTTCCACCTGGTGCCACAAAAAGGAAGGATTCAGACTTGTTTATTCTGGGCATCTGATTCAGACTTATTCATTCTGGTGCCAAGAAAGGGAGGGGTTCAGACTTATTCATTCTGGGCATTTGATTGTCTACGGACTCGAGCTTAGGTCTGTATTTCAACAGTTCTCGGGTGTACCAACTGATCTAGGCCCGTTGGTGCTGGAACCTGTTTTTTCGGAACGTGCAGCAGGGGGCTGTCTGCGGAACTCGGATGGGGCCCTAGTGAGCGAGGAAGTGGTACCGGAGGGACCAAGAGGCAGGCCCCACTGACACTGTGTTCGTGCTCATAGACAAAGCAGAAACCGGGTGGGAAAAGTGCCCAGGTTCGTCCTCTCTTCGCGCGAAGACACAGTAGCAGGGGGGCCTAAACGTAACGGCCAATCACGACTGAAGGCTTTTTTTTTTTTCCCTTACCAAAAAACGACTTAGTGAAGGCTTTGGGTCGGTTTTCTAGACCAGGTTTTATCGCCTGATGCTGTCGGATGGTTTCGTTTCTGGCTTCCTGGAGCGGTAAGCAGCGAAGTAGGGGTGGTGGAGAGCTTGGGGAAGCTATCTCTTCTCTTGTTGGACTTGGAGGAGAGGAGAGGAAAATCGTGAGCGAGGAGAAAGAGGAGGCCCATATTTTGAAAAACTGCCTTGCCTTATCTGTTCAATTGTGGTGTGTGGAGGTGGAGGTGGGGGCAGAAAGGCCTCGCCAGTCGAAGATGTGTTTTAGAGTCCACAAGCGTGATCAGAAAGGGAGACGAGAGGGGGGAGCTGGAGTTGGGTGGAGGTGGCAGGTTTGAGGTGGGGGCAGAATCGCGTGACGCGCTGATCACCGCACTCTTTTCTTTTTTTCAGCGCGCTCTTTTTTTATTTTTGTGAACGAGCGCATCACATACCATGGAAAGATTGCACGGCTTTGATTGGCGCACCAGATCCGGTGGGGCAGCCTGCTTCATGAACGGTGGGCGTTACGTTTCGCACGGAGGGAGTGCCCGCCGCCCCCGCCGTGCGGCCACTCTCTGTTGCTGTTTTGGTTATTGAGGTGCTAAGTGGGGCTATGTTGCATTTTCCACTGTCCGCTGTACAATATTTCGCTCTGACAACTGTCCACTAACTGTCCGAAAAATTGTACAGTGGACAGTAGTGGAGCGAGACCCTTTGTTGTTGTGTGTGTATGAGAGAGAGAGAGAGAGAGAGAGAGAGAGAGAGAGAGAGAGTGAGAGAGAGATTTCCATCCATAGGAGGAGGCAGACCAGGCCGGTCTGAATCGGGCTGTCCATTCGTTTGATTCTTTGCGCTCCATCGTTCTATCATATATGCGCGGGTGCATTTGCTCGATTGGCCGTTCTGCCCCGCACGGACATCAGCTCCCTGCACCTCAATACATAGAGGTTCAGTTCCTCTCGGCCGCGCAGCTGCCGTCGTCGTCGTCGTCGGCGCTTTCTTTCGTCTTCCCCTTCTCGCGAAAGCGCAGTCGAGATGGCGCCCGCCGCTGCCGCTGCTGTTGCCGCTCACGCCACTGGCATGTCGCTGAAGATCGTGCCGTCCCTCGGGAAGTCGGAGTTCGTCGGCACCCATGTCGCCCAATCCGCGGCCTCCGCTGCGCGTGTCGTGCCGCGGGCCAACCTCTCCGCGCGTGCGGGCGGCTACGAGGAGGAGCTCCGCCAGACTGCCAAGACCATCGCCTCCACTGGCAGGGGTATTCTAGCCATGGACGAGTCCAACGCGACCTGCGGCAAGCGTCTCGCCTCCATTGGCCTCGAGAACACCGAGGCTAATCGTCAGGCTTACAGGCAGCTCCTGGTCACCGCTCCCGGCTTGGGCCAGTACATCTCCGGCGCCATTCTCTTTGAGGAGACCCTGTACCAGTCCACTCTCGACGGTAAGCCCTTCGTCAATGTGCTCCAGGACCAGAACATAGTCCCGGGCATCAAGGTTGATAAGGGTCTTGTCCCGCTCGCTGGTTCGAACGATGAGTCCTGGTGCCAAGGTCTCGATGGGCTCTCTACCCGCTGCGCCGAGTACTACAAGCAGGGCGCTCGATTCGCCAAGTGGCGCACTGTCATCAGCATTCCGAACGGCCCGAGCCAGCTTGCGGTGACGGAGGCTGCCTGGGGCTTGGCGCGCTATGCCGCCGTCGCGCAGGACAATGGCCTTGTGCCAATTGTCGAGCCCGAGATCTTGTTGGACGGTGAGCACACAATCGATAGAACCTTGGAGGTGGCTGAGCACGTCTGGGCTACGGTCTTCAAGTACCTCGCAGAGAACAATGTCATGTTCGAGGGGATTCTGTTGAAGCCGAGCATGGTGACGCCTGGAGCGGAGGCGAAGGAGCGCGCGACGCCGGAGGAGGTGGCGGAGTACACGTTGAAGCTCCTAAGGAGGCGGGTGCCGCCGTCGGTTCCAGGAATCATGTTCTTGTCAGGAGGGCAGTCTGAGGTGGAGGCCACGCTCAATTTGAACGCGATGAACCAGTCTCCGAACCCGTGGCACGTGTCGTTCTCGTACGCGCGAGCGCTGCAGAACTCTGTCTTGAAGATGTGGGGGGGTGAGCCGGCGAACGCTGATGCCGCGCAGAAGGCGCTCGTGTACAGGGCGAAATTGAACTCGCTCGCGCAGCAGGGCAAGTACGAGGGTGAAGGCGAGACTGGAGCGCAGGAGAGCCTCTTCGTTAAAGGGTACACGTACTAATTGGCTGATCGATTGGAGGATTGATCTTGTATTTTGCGCCGCGAACGGGGGGTTTGCTCCGTACGCAAACAGAATGGGCGGGTGTGGTGGTCACACGCATACACACACACACATATACACACACACACTCACACACACACACACACACACACACACACACACACACAGAGAGAGAGAGAGAGAGAGAGAGAGAGAGATTAGTGTACGATGAATCTTTTTTTTTTTTTTTTGACGCTAGATAAGGTTAGCTCTCCCACAACTTTCAGCCAACGATGGTACATGTTATCTTCAGTATCTTCAAGTTTGGGTATAGTAAGTATCACTGACTGTCGCGAATAGTCGTGTTATGGTAGATGTTCGGAAGAGAGGAGAGGCGGACTATTCGCGCATGCGGGGGGGCGAAGGGTACGGCGTAGTCGTCGCGGGATTTGATTCGATCGATGACTCGGTGTTTCTCTGTTTGTCTGTTCAATTCATAATCCTTTTCTTTTATCTACGCAAACAGAAACCGGGTCTTTGTGTGTCTATGCCGCCCGCGCATCCAACATTTCTATACCATTCCCCCTCTCTACTCCACAACTCCATATGTCAACTCTTGGTTCCCAGGTGCTCATCTATGAGTGTCCATCGGCACTTCTTTTTACTTACTGTCATTATCCCCTCTCTACCGTGCGTCGAGAGTCACCTGCGCGGGGACCTGCGCGGGGAGAGCGAGCGTCCATTCCCCTGACAACTGTACCCCTTCGTTTGACACATCCCTTCGCTCGACACATCCCGCTTGAAAGGGGTTAAGATAAGAAATGGAATGGCGATTCTTTCACGGAGTCGCGGACACTACCCGCTTTTCTCTACCACTTCAACCCTTTTGTCGGTCCTGTGATTTTGCCTTTCTACCCCTTGAGTGAGAGGCGGCCGCCTGGGATGAAAAAACTGGGGTGACCACGGAGGGGAGAGGCCAGTCCTTTGGACATTGGAGTCAGAAGCCAGTGCCATATGCTAAGGTAAGGTAGGAGCAGCAGATATATATCCGAAGTTTTCTCGCTGTCGTCAACGAGACAAATAATTCGATTCGAGTGGGAACTAAAACCCGCCCGCTCGCTGTCTTTTCTGTGTCCCTCTGCTTGCCCAGGCGACGACGAATATTCTTACCGCGATCCCGGCTGGGCCAATTAGCGAACGATGACCACAAGGACGTGTCTGCAACGGCGAGAGGTGTGTGCCGTTGTCCCCTCAGCCACCATCATCGGCACTTTCGCATAACGGATATGGATGGAATCCTCTTTTTGAGGTTTTAGTCCTGTCAAGAGAGAACCTGAAAAATTGAACGATACAGAGAATGTCGCGCTTGACCCTAAGCGACGGGGGAAGAAATGAGAAATGAGGAATGAGGACGATGTGCATCATTCCAGCATGAGATGAGAAGCGCTGAGGACGATGTGCATCATTCCAGCGTGAGATGAGAAGAGCAGCACTGTCCTCCAGAAAAGAACGCCGCCTTGTTGATACGTCATGCATGACGGAAAAGATAAGTGAAAACAACGACAACAACAACGGTGTGCACAATATTCCAGCGTGAGAGGAGTACTCTTTCTCCTCAATTGTGTGTTGTTGCTGGGTTATGTGAGGATTTGAACTCGCTATCTGTTTACTAACGGTGACATGTGCATGCAATTCACCCACGTGGTGCTAGTTGTGACATGTGTATGCAATTCAGCCACGTGGTGCTAGTTGTGACATGTGCATGCAGCAATTCAGCCACGTGGTTTAAGTTGCGGTATGATGATGGTGTTATGGCCCTGGAATAGAATGAGGACTCGCCTTGACCCGTGCATGACGGAAAAGATATGAGGAAAAAAACCGCCGGCGTGTTCAATTCCGGCGTGAGGAGAGCAGTCACTGTTCTCTCCTCAGCTGTGTTGTCGGGTTATATGACATTGTCAGATAGATTCCATGTCTGCTGAGGCGGTGGAGATCGACGGGTTGGTAGGTGTTCTCGTGGAGTCTCTTGGTACGAGTCGAGAACGATCCGAACTCGCTACCTGTTTACTTCTAACAGTAAGATACTGGTATGTGTGTATCATTCAGCCACGTGGTGGTAGTGGCATCATTCAGCCACGTGGTGGTAGTGGCATCATTCAGCGACTTGGTGGTAGTGGCGATTGGGTGCGCGATATGGGCGAATCGATCTCGCTACCTGTTTACTACTAACAGTGAGATATGTGTATCATTAAGCCACGTGGTGGTAGTGGCATCATTCAGCCACGTGGTGGTAGTGTCTATTGGGTGAGCGCTATGGACGAATCGATCTCGCTACCTGTTTACTAATAGTGAGATATGTAGATAGTATATACCAAGTAGCCACGTGATGGTAGGTAGTGGCGGCAAGGGTGCTATCTCCCTCCGGAGAGAGAACTTGGGGCTTCGCGGACGGAAATGAACCGCGCTTTTCGTGTCACAGCATGCCTGCTGCCTCAGCCCCCTGGTTCAAAATTCAAATCGTAATGAATAGTCTTGCGGGCTACCGGTAGCATTCCTATGCGCGGGGTAAGGACCATGGCTTACTTAGCTGTGTTTGCCAGCGCGCCCGCGGCGGGTTGACTTTCGTACTGACCCCAGCTGAGAGGTGTATAATCGGTTTGACGAAACGACGGGAGTGTTTAGGACTGTAATGATGAGCTCCTCACATTTAAATGACTATGATTCTCTGCTTAGGAGTACACAGTAATACTCTTAACGCGACACATAACGGATGTCCTCCTCGTCGGTGAAGAGAAGGCGTCAACCTGGTTATAAACTGTTCAAGCACAGAAGCGCGGACGTGCCCCTTTCGGCTCCGCTGCGTACCCCTCTTGCCTCCGCTGCCTCCTCCCGTAGCCCCCTGGGTTGTCAGTATTTCTGTTTTGTTATTTGTAATTCGTCGCTTCCGTCGTCTACCATCCTGGATCAAATCGGTCGTTCTCGATTAATCTCTCGATTGATCTCTCGATTGATCTCTCGATTGATCTCTAGATTCGATCGCTGTGGTGTAGTGGTCTTCGAAGGTTGCCAATCTTCTGGAGAGAACGAGATGCACGCTTGGCTTGAAGGGAGGGTAGAGGAGTCTAGAGGAGTCTTGCCTCGCTGTGTGACACATGTCACCGCGCTATGTTGCCAAGGTGGAAGAAAACCGAAGAAAGGGAGGAAAAGATAAATGAGTGTTGCCCCTTTTTTTGTGGAATAGTGTGGAGTTATATTTCCTAGACTTGATATGGTTAACTTGAGAGCCGACGAGATTACTCCGGCCAGGGAGTGAGATTTTTGTTGATTTGTTGCATTAGACTTGCTGCTGCTTTTGACTATAAAGGTGCTCCGAATGTAGTCCAGTTTTTCTTTTTCTTTCTTTTTGTGTCGTTGATATTGAGGAAGGGGCGCATGATGCGCATTCAAAGGAAAAGCACGAGAGGTTAATTTGAACAGAGGAAAAGCACGAGAGGTGACGTTTTGAACAGAGGAAAAAAGCACAAGAGGTAGCATTTTGAACGAAGGAGAAAAGGCCAAGTGGTACTTAGAATGAACAGGAAGGAAGCGGCAGCAGGTGGAAGAATTCTATTCGTCAGCCCCACACCAATACGAGAGCACGAAGGCGATCTGCATTTTGTGGTGTGCTTTCGTCCGTTTGATTACTCTCACGTCTGTTGATTGATTAGTATTTCCTCTCTCAGGAGTCTACCGTAGTCATTTGGTTTCACGCGTATGTGGAGGAAATGATCATTTTGATAAACCACCATAGTCGATTGCCAGTTGTCTCCTTCTCTGCCGTCGTTGAGGGATTCCTCCCCTCCCAACCACGCACATCGACTGCGCTACGTAGTTGATGAAGCCAGGAAACACTTGTCGTCGAGTCAATGAACCATTATGCGTGTTATGCACCTCCGCACCGTGTGGTCACTGGAGCGAAGTAGTTGGTAAGTTCAACAAACTCTCTTCATTTTTTTTTATTCTTTTTGGCAATTGAGTGTATGCTTTTGCAGGTTTGATCTGTTTATTATGAACAGCTAGGTTACTATGTTGTGTATACGACTCACAGCAACTACCACAGCCAGGTACTCTCACCCTGCTGTACTTTTCCTTCAGTAGAGGAGTTGGATGGAATAGAAGGTAGATGCACGAAAGAGAAGCTAAATGGATGACGAAGCCAGCAGCTACCCACGCAGTCTGTCGCCGTACCTCGGAGTATCGTATCCACTTCCTTTCGTTTTTTTTTTGTTTGTCTAATATTATGGATCGTTTCTCGATTTAGTACCGTATCCACTTCCTTTTTTCTTTTCTTTTCTTTTTTTTAATTAATTTGGATCGTTTCTCGATTTATGCGTGTCATCCTTGAGTGCGCAGGGGCCATGCTAATCTTCCTTCTCTGTATCGTTCCAATTTTAATGGATGTCCCGAAGGACATCCACTTCCTTTCTTATTCTTTTTTTAATCCAGTTTCCCTACACCTGCTCTATTGATGATACGAGAGACAGCGGAGACTGTCTTAGATGGAGAGAGATAGAAGGTAGATGCACGACGAAGCGAGAGCAGCAGCAACCAAGTCTGTCGCTGTTCCTCTCAGTACCTTACCCACTTCCTGTCTCTTTTTTTTCTTTTTTCTTTTTTCTTTTTAAATCCAGTTTCCTTACACCTGCTCTGCTCGGATGATACGAGAGGCAGCGGAGTCTGTCTTAGGTGGAGAGAAGGTCACGGCTCTGTACCTGGTCTATTACAGTATGTAGTATATCTACTGATGTTGATGTGACCATTATACATCGAGCAAGCAAGGGAGTATTGTACTCTCCTTCGCGTTTCGAATGACCTTTCAAATACGTAGGCGGTCATCCAGACGTGTAAGAGGTCAAGCAAGCGAACGGTTGAGACCGTCACAGCGTGTATACTGATGTCGCTGTTGGCACGCGGTCCACCCAATGGTTCAGCATCACACCTTGTATACTGCATCACACCTTGTATACTGATCTGGCTGTTTGTATGTCGACCTATGAGGATGTGGCCGTCTCCATTGAATCTCCTACCCCTAAGTGTATTGACCGCAATTCTAAACGAATCCCCCCCAAATTGCAATCCTTTGCAGTAGAAGTTGAAGGATTGCGATTTTTGGGGGATTCGTTTGGAGTTCGTTTTTGCACGGTGCTATACTATAAGACTGGTTTGTCAGGTGCTGGATCTACTCCTGCTGTACTCTTAACATTTGCGAACGTGGAGCACGTGGAGCAAATTCAGACTTGCAAACACAGTAAGACCCTGTGAAACGTGGAGCTAATTCGGACTTGTAATCACAGTAAGACCCTGTGGTGAAGTTTGAACTCACGTTTGATTGCTTGAGCGGCAATATGAATTCAAATGGATGCACGCCATTGACAAATATTCACCGATGAAATACCCTTGCTATTGATTATTGCAATCCGGCAAGAAGTACATTGTCTGCTTCCTGCTTGCTCTTCCTTTGTCCTCGTCTCTGCTGCCTGCTAACTCCTCGCTCTCCTCTTCTAGACTCTCGTTGATGATTTGTGACACTGCGTTTGTGTGTGTTGTTGCCATGTTTATCGCTATAATTGCAACTCCGCAGAAAAAGCATGACTGTGTCAGGCTGTTTCGACAGACTCTGACCAACTCGTCAGGCTGTTGATCGCCGACAGTCTGCCCATGATGCATTTGACTGATGGACTGATGGACGAGGACTCACCACGTTGCCCAGAGTTAGCGATACCCCTAGGAAAAGTGATAGACATTACTGAATTAACCCTGTAATTAGAAGACTGTGGGTCCAAACTCCTGACAAGAACGGCACTAAGTCTGGGAGAGTAAATGTCACAGCCGTAAAACCCACGTGTGTGTGTGTGTGTGTGTGTGTGTGTGTGTAGACACACACAGGCACACACACACACACACACACAGACACACACACACACACACACACACAGAGAGAGAGAGAGAGAGAGCACAAACAGTGACATGCCTCATGTTCGCTGTGTATCTGTTCACTGTGTATCTCTATCTTCGGGCGTGGTACTGCTCGTTTTATGGTGAATATGGTCCGCATATTGTAGCATGGTTAGCGGAAGTTCTCACGAGCTCATGGTGCAAGGTGAGCTGATGTGTGCACCCTTAGCCACATGTGAGTGGAAGGGGTTGTATTCTTAGCAGCTTAAGCACAAACAGTGACATGCCTCATGTTCGCTGTGTATCTGTTCACTGTGTATCTCTATCTTCGGGCGTGGTACTGCTCGTTTTATGGTGAATATGGTCCGCATATTGTAGCATGGTTAGCTGATATGTGCGGAAGTTCTCACGAGCTCGTGGTGCAAGGTGAGCTGATGTGTGCACCCTTAGCCACATGTGAGTGGAAGGGGTTGTATTCTTAGCAGCTTAAGTAGTGAGGTGGACGGGTTTTGTACGACCCCTAAACTCGGGAGGTATGGTGAGGAAAAGCACGAACAATGATGTTTGTGACCCTGGAAAATGCTGGACAGAAGGGTGTGTAGAGTGCCATGCACTCGCATGCGATCTCACTTCCTTTTACTCCGTTGTAGGTGGGAGAATGATGTAGAAAAAGAGAAAGAGGAAGACAATCTCCGAAGATATATTTGATGGCGTTGCAGCGAGGATGTGGAAGGAAGCGATACGAGTTGTCCTGTGTGGTAGCTCCTGAAATTTTATAGGTCGGGCACAGATGCACTTGGATTACTACTAAGCAAACCCATTTTCCCACCAATGGAGCGTCAGCAGCCTTCCCCCAGCCAGGGGCGGCATCATTTTTGTGGCCACCTGCAGTGGTTATCAAGGTGGCAATGCGATCGGGTGTAACGTGGGAATGCGATCGGGTGTTTTCATGTCTTTTTATCCTTGAGATAGGCAGACTCGTGAGCACTGTGTGACTGGCTTGCCTGCCCAGAATGCAGATCTGTGTTGCCTCTTGACTTCGTCTTTTTCAGGACACTGGGGACAGGGTCACTGCTGATCCC